GGGCCGGCGCGCGCGTGCGATTGTGGAGAAAGGGGCGGGGCCGGGCCCTGGCCCTGAGCTAAGTACAGTTTGAGGCGGACCTCCCCTCCCGGTCTCTCCGGGTGGGCGGGGCCTCGGCTGGGCGGCCTCGCGCCTGCCTGCTGGGGCTGGGGGACGGGCAGGGGGTCTCCCGCGTGTGGCTTCGGAGTGCGGCAGGGAGGGGGCGTGAAGTCTGCCTGCCTCCGCCTTCCCGGAATCCGGTTGGCCGGAGGGGCCGTACGGATCAGCGATGCCACTCCCCCTGGCTGTCTTCCCCCTCCCCCCGGTTTCCGCCTCCTTGGCAAGTGAGGCGGGGCTCGCGAAAGCCCGCTGTCGGGTCTGGCTGGGAGTCGGGGCGCCTAGATCTGCCCCGCCCTACGTCTCCGTAGGGTGGGAGGGGCCCCCGCCTTCGCGCAGTGGAGGTGTCAGGACTTTCTCTTGTGGCTCGGCCATGCCTTTTGCCTGGGGCACGAGGGTCAGGTGCCAGAGCTGTTGTGTCTTTGCTCCATGCAGCGTAGATGGCACCGTGCAGCTTGGAGGATGGGAGCGTGGTCACCGCCAGTCCCCTCTCGTTTGTAATTATTGGGGCGAGGTGCTCAAGGTCCTTTCCTTGGAGTTCTGTCGAGTGCTGGTAGTGCTGTGACCGTGCTTCTGCAGCGGTGATGGTGGGGGGAGGGGTGGGGAATCATCAGAGCCTAGAAATGTGGCCGGGGACAACCTTTCCTGGAGTTCCTTGATGTTCAGTTACCGTGGCTGTATGGGGCGGGGCTTCCTTTTAGCCAATGGGGTGGTGGGTAGTTAGTTAGACTTGGCCACTGTTTCAGTGCCTTACAACTTTAAAAGCAGTTAACCACGAAAAGGCTGTGGAAACTCTCCTCTTCACAAGGCTGAGATTTAGAAAAGGGTTGGGTTTACATTTTACTATTAAAAATGATCTTTTACGAAAGATGGTGATTTTTTTTTAAACTCAGCCTTTGAATTACTCCAATTTCTCCAACTCCTGCATTTTTTGAATGCTTTGATCGTACAGATGGTTCTGCTATATAAGCTTAATTTCACAAAGAGATAAGTTGCAATTTAGGTAACTTTAGGTGTTCTAGACCACTTTCTATTTATAGTCTATAAAACATAGTGTTCCTGCCATATTTTATTACAGAGAGTAGGGTGAAGTAGCCTTGTGTATGTGACTTAGGTAGTGTTGCCCTCCAGCTTGTATTGGGGAGTTGCCTTAAGACAGTTCAAGTTTAATGAGCCATTTTAATTGAGGATTTTGCTCTGAGTTGAGCCATTCTCTTAAGAAAAATTATTCAAGGTGGTTTTGATATTTTTCATGAGAAAATAAAATCGAACGAATATATTATGCGCTAATATCTGAGCAAGCCCTCTGGCTGATTAGCTGAACTGAAGTTAAATTCTAGATTTGTTGAGACTGAGAGCTTGGTGCTCTGTACTTTGTGAAAAGATTAAGTCCCACTTTCTCAACTAAGCAAGTAGCAATGGCAGCAGTAGCTTTTTATTTTGGTTATTGGTGACTGTAATAGAATTGGTGTGGAGATAGAAAACCTGGGTGTTTTTCCCAGTGCTGTAAACTGACAAAGATAGTGGAGAATTTACCATTGGGGAAAGTTTGGTCAACATATAGTTGTTTCCACCATTTGCAATACTGTATGCTGGGAGACACAGAAGACCTAATTCATGCCCTTAAAGAATATGTTGTTTGTTGGTGCGTCAGGGTCAGAAGTCCCTCAGAGGCTTTAAGAATTCAAGTAAGAACCTGAAAATGCTGTATTAGGAAAGTTTTCATAAATGCTTCTTACTTTTCCAAATATCAGTATCATATACTATAGTTTTGTCAGTTAAAGACCCTAGATAAATTGGCATTTTAAAAGGTTTTACCTAAAGAGTAATATATTTTTCTTTTTCTAATTAAGAGGATATGTAGTAATATGGTAAGATTCCTGACAAAGCATAGTTCTGCTTACATCTTCAGTGCAAACAGACAAGATACTGGAGAGCTATGCAAGGTAGATGCTATGCAAGGTAGATGGCTGTGAATTTTAGTTGGAATTAAAAGATTATGCCCATGGCATGCAGAATCTAGTGCAGTGCTTTAAAAGACTTTCTTACTCTTCTGGGTAACGCCACCAATGAAGAATTTGTATAAGCTTAATTTCCTGTAAATTCTTATAAAGATGATAGTTAAGTGTTTTTTTAAACTATACTTTCTGTCTCCTTGAATGATAAGAAGAACTTACATTTACTGAGCCCTTTATGATGTCCCAGACACTGAGTTAGGTACTATACATTTACTAACCCATTTAATCTTCACTACAACTCTGTGTAGCGGGTGCTATGAAATCTGTGTTTTAAAGATGAGGAAACAGTGTGGAGAAGTGAGACATGCAGTGAGTGGCCAAGCAAGACTCAACCCATTCATTTCTGGTTCCAAGTCCAGGCTCTTAGCTACACTTTACTTGCCTCTGGTCTAAGGATACTAAACAAAGAAGGAACAGTGTAGGGTTGTGGTGGGTTTTTTTTTTTCAGTTACAGTAAAAAATATGTCAATTTATGATTTTATCCATTTTAAATGTACAATTCAATAACATTGAATACATAACATATTGTTGCACAACCATCGCTACCATCCATTTCCAGAATTTTTCATTGTCCCATAGAATAATGTCTTCAAGATTCATCCATGTTGTAGCATGTATCAGAATTATCTTCCTTTTTAACAGTGAATACTATTCCATTATATGTGTATATACCACATTTTGTTTATTCATATGTCGAAGGACATTGGGTTGGTCCCATCTCTTGGCTATTGTGAGTAATGCTACTATGAACATGGGTGTGTAAATGTCTCTTCAAGTACCTGCTTTGAGTTCTTCCGAGTATATACCCAGAAGTGGAGTTGCTAGGTCATATGGTAATTCTATGTTTAATTTTTGGAGGAATCAGCAATGTGCTTTTGAAAGCAGTATTGAGGTAAAAGACTGGGGTTCAGATTCTAAAGGTGAATTGAATCAACATGCATTATTGACCACCTTTTTTTTAAATTGAGATATTGATGTATAATATTATGTAAGTTTCAGGTGTACAGCATAGTGATTCACAATTTTTAAAAGCTATTGAACACCTTCTTAAATAGCTCTAGACTGACACAGGAAGAGTTGAGACATTTACATTCTTAGAAGAAAAGGTAAATATACACATAATATGATTTTACTACATATCAGTATAGATCAAGTGTGTTAAGAGTCAAGTACAAAAGAGCTGTAAGGAATTCAGAGGAGAGCCTACCTTTTGGGTGTGATACAGAATGAGAAAGGACAAAGTCTGAAATCATAGAACCTGTTGAAGGGAGTTGTTAGACATCTTACTCAAAGTACCCCCAGATAATGCTTCGGAATGTTAGAAGAGGTAGCACAGTGATTGTAGTCTGTCATCCAGAGTTTGTGAATCCTGTTCTCTTCAGTTTGCAGGTCTGATTGCTTCTACTGCTTTGAAAGGTATTTAAGAATCACAGTGAAGAAATCATGGACTTGGCATATTCTTGTTGCTGTTACTCAGTCAACCTCAGGATATATTATTAACATGTTCAGCTATTGTTTCCCAATACTTCTTTCTTTCACACACCTTCCTGTTTCTGCTTCTTGAGTAGTAGTAGAAGTAATATCTTGGGATTTTTATCTTTTTCTTTATAGTTTAAGTAATTAATTCTGAATTTTTGTTGTTGTTGAGAATAAGGTCAAGTAAAGACAGTCATCTAGCAGCATACTTAGGTAGTCTGAATCAGGGTACTGCCATTATTACATTCTATTCTTTTCAAATATTTCAAGGAATTTTTTTTTGGCAGGTATTTTTCTGTCTCAATATGAATTCTGATTATCTTTAGACAATCATCTGTCTATTGTATTTTGTTCTGTTTTTTTTTTTTATTTTGAGGGGGTGAGGTAATTAGATTGATTTATTGTTAGAGGCAGTACCGGGGATTGAACCCAGGACCCTGTGCATGCTGAGCATGTGCTTTACTGCTTGAGCTATACCCTCCCCTCTACACATCAAAACAAAACAAAACAAAACTTTGGCTTCCTTTAATTATGCGTATCTCTTTTTGGGTCTCTTTCTTTCCTTTTTTTTTTCCTTTGGTGGGGGGTGTTAATTAGGTTAGTTTATTTATTTATTTTAGAGGCGGTACTGGGGAATGAACCCAGGACCCTGTGCACACCAAGCATGCACTCTCCCACTTGAGTTATATCCTCGTCACCCTTTTTAAGACATGCCCAGCAGGATTTGTTGTCAGTTATAACCAAATGCAGATTTTTTTTTGTCCTTGTACATTTGCAGGGCAACAACCTGATCCTGGTTTTCCCTGGGGAGAGCTGCACTGGTGGCTCACAGTTCATCTATTTTGGGACTTTTTTGATAGCCTCGGTGTCTAGGACAGTGCTGGCACACAGGTGATAGGTAGTTTACAAACTGAACTTGAATGGCATTTTAAAGTTTGCTAACTAGAGGATACCTCTGTTCAGTTGACAGTTGGCTTCAATATTACTTAGGCATTTACCGGTAGCAGTTTCTAACTGCTAATCTCTCTTGTGCCCCTCCTGTCTTGCTTTTGTACTCCTCACCTGCTTTCTGTGCGCCTGCATGTTACTTGTATTCACCAGCATGGTGACAGTGGATGCTTCCTTAGTCCTACTGGTTTCCTCTGGGGCTAGGCTTGCTGACTTGCAGGCTCTTGAAGGATATACAGAGCCACAGTCCCTTATCTGCAGCTTTGAAATGGAAGAATTTTCGTTTGTTTTTTGGTAAGTTTGGTTCCACAACTAATTTAAGGACACAGCCTGATCTAGGCTGTTTGA